CCCCGATGGCAAACACCGAGGGGGGGGGAGAAAGAGAGTGGAAACAAGCAGGGCCAGGCAGGTGCAACTGCTCCCAAGCGAAGCGAATCAGAACCCCCGTGTCTCACCAACATGCCCAAAAATCAAATTACCTCCTGCCGCAGCCGATGTTCCTACGACAAAGACTTTCGGCATGCGTGCAAACACGGGCACACACACACCGTCTATTAGCAGCGGCGTCAAACACATGCACATACATGGGCCGCGCTCCAAAACTCGGACACACACACACACACACCTGCTTGTACTTGGGCTTGAGCTCCAGCGCCCGGGAAAGGTCCTGGATGGCCTCGGCGTACTTGCGTCTCGACAGGAACACGCGGAAGCGCTTGTAGAAGTTCCGCTCGTTCTTGGGCTCTAGCTCGATTACCTGCACAGCATAACACCCACCCGGGAACGTCGGGGGGGGGTTCGGAAAAGGTTACAGCAGCCAAGAGCTGGGGACTCCTGCTGAACTGCTCTAGGGGGGCGTACTCTTATGTTTTGCATGCTTTAGCGGTTAGACCATTGACCACGCGTCCTCGAGAGGACGGAGCATTGTTCCCACAGGACCGATCACCGATGGCCAAGCGTTCCTTTCTACTTTGCCAAAGGCGGCTCAAAAATGTCTTCCCTAGTCTGTCTATACTAACGGAGCAGGCAAAACGTGCAAGCCTCGAGCCCGGATTCCATGGACGACAATCCGGGTGGGTTGCGCTCGTCAAGGCGTGTATGGCCACGGGCAGGTACTGGGAAATAGAGATGGCGTTTCCGTGGGGATAAGCCGCCGCATGGAACGATGGGGACAGCGGTATGCCCAGGATCACGTTGCGGCAACCATCGCAAGCGTAGACACAGCGGTACTTGCTTCTGGGCGGCCACGACCTCATTTAGAGTCAACCCCCACCCACTTCAGTGGGGGTTCAGTAAAACCTGTGGCTGAAAACTGAAGACCGAGCGACGAAATTGCCTCTGGTTGTCGGCGAAAAAGCGAGGAGGCAGGGGAGGGACCTGTCCGCCACCGCCGCCAACATGCAGCCCGGGACAAGGGGACGACGGCCCCTGATGAACATCAGCTGCACTACAAAAGAAACAAACGGCATCTACTGCTGTTTCTGAAGACACACGCGGACCTGCGAGAAGAGGCGGATCGCCTTCTCGTGCTCCCCCTTGGAGATGGCCAGCTCCGCCCCGGACCGGAGTGCCGACGCCGAGGGCGGCGCCGCCTCCTTCGCGCCGCCGCTGTCGTCGGCCTGCGTGTGAAAAAAACAGAGACCGCAGGTACGCACTAAATTGGGAATGGAAACAGCAGAAGTCTCAGAGAAAAAACTACTAGACGGGAATGCTGTTGTTATTGTTGTTGTTATTGTCTTCACATTAAAAACCGTACCATATAGTCTAACACTTGAAGCAGTCGATTCCCGTGGTCACAGGCTAACTTACCCAAAAAATGGATACGAAAATAACATAGACCCGAAGGATCCGCAAGTCAATAGAATCAACGACAGATAGTCTAGGACACTCCGCAAGCCTCTGCACGCTATGCGAGGTAACCATAGACTGGACAAAAGGAAAGCAAGAGCAAAATAACAAAAAATAGAGCAGAGGGAGAAAGGGGGAGTGGGCCGTGGAAAAACCATCCTTGCTTGGATTGTCTTCCCCTCCTCTCAGTAGTCTACGCAGCAAAATCAATGAAGCAAACACGTGGGATAACGTGTTCAATCCGTGCTTTAGGGTTAGGGTTAGGGGTAGGGTCTGCGTGCCCCCTCCCTATTCTTTCTCCAGATGCTCTTGAAATCCTGCGTAGGCGGTCCCCTGTTCTCCCTTTGTCGGCACGGCTCCAATGGATTTTGGTCACACCGTGTGTGAAGAAATGGACGTGAAGCTATGTACCGAGTGTCCATATAACGAATCAATGTTTCGGGCCTACGAACAGCTCAAGTCGGTTAGTGTTCGCTTGTTTCTTCTTTGACCAGCGTGACCGCGCTAACCCGCTGGCCAATGAAAAGACGCCAGTTTTCGGCGCGACAACAAAACCCGAGATCGTATTTTATTGCTGTTCCGTGGGGCCCCTTGGTTCGGGGGCCGCGGGCGAATGAAGGGACGAACGCTTGTTGTGGGCATATGGGGATTCCCAGTTCGCGATGGTGCAGGTTTATACCGAATGCTGTACAAACCTTTTGCCTTAGGGGAATAGAAAAAGATGGTAATGCCCATGTATCGTGCGGTAGGCATTAGACGTCGGTGCACCACACCTTCCAGCAGGATCTTGTGCCCCCCCTCCAACAGCACCAACAACAACGACGTGCATCCCGTTGTGAACGTTGTACTGTATAAAACAGGCATGTGCATGAATAAAAAGGTGAGTGTTGGAGCCGGGGAACGGCTCGCGGCGTATCATGAATTTGAATGATCGACACCCAAAAGCTGCAGACAACGAACCCCGGCATGATCGCGTGATCACGTCGTTCTCTCTTGGCATCCTTCTCAGCGCAACCCAGGTTCCAGGCAGAGCTCACGTCTGCCCTTTCCAGGCTGTGGGGAGCCGTGTCGCACCTGAACCTGGGGCTGGGTCGGGTGGAGGAACTGCACAGATGCGCCATCAACGCCCGCGGCGCCATGTACCGCGTGCCGCGAGATACGCGAGATAAGTCTACTGGTCGGAACGGTGGAATGGCTGACAGAATCAGTTTCGAATCTCGAGGCCCGCCGCTGACCAGCAGACTTGTCTCGCGTATCTCGCGTATCTCGCGGCACGCGGTACATGGCGCCGCGGGCGTTGATGGCGCATCTGTGCAGTTCCTCCACCCGACCCAGCCCCAGGTTCAGGTGCGACACGGCTCCCCACAGCCTGGAAAGGGCAGACGTGAGCTCTGCCTGGAACCTGGGTTGCGCTGAGAAGGATGCCAAGAGAGAACGACGTGATCACGCGATCATGCCGGGGTTCGTTGTCTGCAGCTTTTGGGTGTCGATCATTCAAATTCATGATACGCCGCGAGCCGTTCCCCGGCTCCAACACTCACCTTTTTATTCATGCACATGCCTGTTTTATACAGTACAACGTTCACAACGGGATGCACGTCGTTGTTGTTGGTGCTGTTGGAGGGNGGTAAATAGTGCGATAAAAATCGAAGACAAGCACCGCAATGGGTAGCGGGGGCTCAAGGGGAGGAGCCCTTCTGCGCGACGACCACGATCGGAGCTAGCTCCTATACATACACGGCAGAATGCTCTGTGTGTGAACGCTGATTAAAGTGATGGAACAAAAAACAAAATGCCAACAACTAACTTGCAGACTAAGTTTGGCTGCATTGCCATGGCGGGAACCGGCCGCATGGTGATCTTCCCCTCCTCGCTCTGCTTTCAATTGCGCTAAGCAAACAGACTTTGGCTGCAGGTAACAAACACCGACTAGACTATAGTCCACATCACCTCAAGACCACACTTCGCGTACGCGTGACTATGTAGCAGTAGAAGGCACTACAACAGTAATACTTCATGCTATGCTCTATGAACTATGAACCCACGCAGTGTAAAGAGGAGGCGGAAGCCAAGCGTCAAATAGTTGGGTGTGTATATGTTTGAGGGAGAAGTCTCGTTCGAGCAAAGCAAGAACAAATGTCACGGCGTCAATACCGCCAGTGGTATTTACTACTGCTGCGTATCCTGTAAGTGTATGTACACGGAGAGTTTCGAGACGCAAAGTTTAGCTGTTGCCGAGCATGCTGTCCGCAGTTTGTTTAGTGGTTCCCAAACATGGGATAGCGAACATGGGAACACAATTTGTCGTGGCTACAGGATGACCAAGCCGTGAAGCCATGCCTCCTGAGTTGCTGTTCACTTTCTACGCGGCATCGATATCCAGCAGTACCGCGTGTGGGGATGCCGGTGGTAGCTGGGTACAGCAGTACGCGTTACGTTCGGACTGCCTCCAAAAAGAGCACTGCCGTGTCTCTCCGCATCGAAAGTCGAAGCGGCGAATCCAAAAAAACGATCACATTCCTGGATTTCTATTGTATACACACCACATACCCCCAACACACAACGTTGTGCGTTACCACTCTCCCTCACCTTCGCCCCTGCAACAGCACCATGAGCCGTGATGCTGCCCACCGGCGAACAGCTGAGCAGCAGCAGGACGTTGAACACCCTGAGCAGCAGCGACGAGGGTACTATCCGCTGAGGAGGACCCGGCTTCATTGCCCGGACACTCACCGACGAAGACGGAGAAGGGTACCGCGTCCACCACGGACACGTCGCCGTGGGACTCATTGCTCTCTCTATGTGGATGTACCCAGTAAGTAATCTACACGCTTCTCCCCCGTTCTGCCTGTGCCTCTGCTCGGAAGTCAGTTGTTCCCTTTGCCCTGCCGGCCTGCAGTGACCATTTTTTTGCTGGCTCGCGGCAGCCTCTGATTGGCCGAAATTGGGGGGTTTCTCATGGCTTGGGGTTGGTGCTAATGACCATCTCTTGTGCCCCCACGACTGGTTCTGGGGTTCTGCGTTCTGCCACCGCCTTTGTAGCAGGCTCTGCGTCTGTGCAGCCGTGCACTTGGCTGCCCTGTGGGAAAAGAGGCCATGGCCCCTGACGAAAGAGTCGAGGACATCCACCTTCTTCGCGGACAGTATTGGCTGACTAGAGTTGTCTTCCTCCGATGCCTCGGATTTGTCTACGCGGCTGCGTTCTTTTCGGCGTTGCGGGATAACGGTGCCCTGGTGAGATTGATGGAGATTGAGAGAGTGATCAGGCCTTCCACATGCGAAGTACACGTACAGCCGTAGGTAGGGCTATCAATGTTGATTCAGCCGAAGTCTCTGCTTCGATGACTCGGAACCTTGTGCATCATGTGAAGTCCTTGCGCACCTGTTACGCCCGTTGCACGTTTCTTTTTCACCGCGCATGAAAACTTTTGCCCATCTTTGCCTGTTCCCAACTGACAATTTCCACAACGATCTTTCCCAGCGTATCAATCTGTCCGCCCTTGTTGTCCTTGTGTAAGCAGCATCTACAGAGCGCTTTTGTTCAACGTAAGGGCTTGAACCGACTCGAACAAGTCCAGTATCCAGCAGGTGCCCCTCGACCCTCACCGCTGTGAAAGGCTTTAATGCATACCTTCAAACGGGGCGGGTAGTCTTTTTTTGCGATGGGTGAACTTGTATTCATTCCCTTACAGCAGTAGCGGCTCCGTGTAGGATGTTTAACAGAAGGTCCGGGTTTAACACAGTGGTGAACTGGCTTGGCACGCCCAAAGTCGTTTCAACAGAAAATTTGTCTTATTTCTGAGATTATCTGTTGAATCGAGCTTCTGGAGGCCGCGCCACGTATAGGAGTGGTTCATCTAGTGGGTGATTGGGTGGATTTTCTCTTGGATGCTGGAGCATCCGTTGGCTCGTGTTGTAGTTCCACAAGAGCCTCGAGTAGCAGCACATCTATGACAAGGCAACCAATACTACAGAGGTCTGACGCGTGATTTGTTTCCCGACACTTTCTACTAGAACAAGCGCGATTTAGTTCCCAACACTTTCTACCAAGAGCGTATAACTGGTCCATATTGCTCGCCAACCAACAGATAAAGCGGTGTGTGGAGCTAGCCCAAGGAGCGGGCGCTACCTGCGTTGTCTGGCATGAATGATACGCCCTCCATCAACTCTTACGGCACATACTGCTGTTGTTGGGACGACTGGATCCCTGTTTCACGGCCTTTCGTTTTGGCTACGGTTTCACTTAACATTCTGTTAAACCGTAGCCAAAACGGTTTAACAGAAATGCCGATTTGATAGAGGTATTTTGGCTTGTCACGGCCCTATGTTAAAAACCGTAGCCGCTACTGCTGTACAAGTTCACCCATCACGGCAAAAGTTTTTTGCACCTATGGGTACCCACATAAGCCATGCACCCATGCCCTCGACAGACCGAAAACACTATCTGCAGGCGAAAAACAGGGGCAAGTGTTCCAAGGCTCGAACGACTGATCTGCTCTTCTGCATGATGCAGACGTGTCCCTTGAACCAGCGACTAGTTGATTTTCAACCAAAGGCATTTTGTGCTTCTAAACTCTAGATACTCTGCTTTGGCAGGGGCACGAAACCTGCTAAAAACCCTAACGCTAACCCCAAACCCAAGCCCAAGCCCACCTGATAGGTGCTAGGTTGGCGCTGGGTGGCTCAGTTCTAGGTTGCTGTGCCTGCATTAGGGCTAGGTTGGCGCTGGGTGGCTCAGTTCTAGGTTGTTGTGCCTGCACTAGGGCTAGGTTGGTGTTGACGGAGACTCTAGGTTGTGACTGCTTGGATAGGTGCTACGTTGGTCCTGACGTGTCTAGGTGCTACGTTGCTGGGCCTTGGAGGAGGACTAGGTCACTCTTGGGCGGTGAACGGTGTTCGTGCAGGTCTATATAGGCGGGACTGACAAGTTGTGGGTGCATGGCTTATGTGCGTACCCGTGGCTGCATCTAGTTTTTTCCGGCAAAGATATTGCACCTACGGTATGGACAGACGCGTGGTTGTTGTTGTTGTTGTTGTTGTTGTTGTTTCTCACATTAGCTCTACAGTCCACAAAAAAATGGGGAGCCCGTGGTATGCGTATGCTTCTCGCGCAGAGATTACCTACAGCAGTAGTCCACGGAAAGATACCGCAATGCGCATACAACAGCAGGCAATGAATGCGTATCTAGTCGAACACACGTATGTTCCGCCGCGTTTGTTGTTGCTCTGTGTGTGTGGGGGGGTGTACTCAAACTCATAGTCGTGCATGCCGTAGTCGTTGGACCATTGACCTCGCATCCCTACAAAGCCGGGACGGAGCACGCCGGGTTCTCACCGGACCAGGCTCTCACATCACCAAGCGCGAAGCGCCGTGAGATATTCGGCGAGTCGCATGAAGGGTGCGCTGCATCCTGCTAAGGGTGTTCGGCATCTTGCGCTTACTTCCTTGCGTACGGATGACAGCTGCGTATGAATTAATTTATTTTCTGGTAGTTTCACTTCTAGAGACAGTTGTAAGCACTGTGTAACTGCCTCGACGGTGCTTGACCATTTTAACACAACGTGGTGCGATCATCCCCCTTGCGCGGAGTGAGGGTTCACCCCGCACAACATGATCTACTCAACCATCATTATGGTTACCGCCCAAAAAAAATAAACGAGGTAAGAAAAAAAAAACGGTAACCTGATTGCCGAGTTCACGAAGTGAATTGGCTTGTTTTACAA